ATAAATTACCCCCGATCCTTTTAGTAAAGGTCCACTTCCTAATTTTCCCAATTTTTTTTAAAAAAACAAAAACTCTGTTAAAGCGACTTTTATTTTGTTTTTTATTTGGACCTTACTTACACATTAATTAATTTTAAAATTTTACCCCCCATGAGAAGATATTAAAACGTCCAGAGGATGAACATTAAAATACAAAGTACTGGTAGGCTTTTAGGAGTTAACAAACCTTTTTTTTTTAATACCGTGGGTATTAATTTTTATTTATTTTTTTTTTGGGTCTTCTTTTTCTATATATTCACTAACAGTTTTTGATAAAGAATTACTCTTACTTGCATTAAAATTATTTAGATTTTCTTGAAGTTTTTTCTGTTCATTATATAATTGTTGCCAAGATTGATCTGTTTCAGAATCATAAGCATTTTTATCTTTTTCACTCATTGATTCAAGTAAATCTGTTATAGATTTTGAATTATTGGTATTAATTCTATCTTTAATCCCTAGTTTATTTAAAAATTGTTTAGCATATTCTTCAGCTCCAATATTTTTAACAATTTGTCTCATTCCAGGTACAGGTAAGGTTCTTTACCTTCTTGGACTAAAATTTCATCCAATTCATAACATAATGCATAAGTAATACCAGTACCTACAGTAAAATTAACTGTAGTTTTAGTTACATTACCCTTCATTCTAAATACAGTGTTATATGTATTTACAGGAGAATTTCGTACTATTAATTTACCAGTATAAACATTAAATATAAATTGTTTTATGATATATAGTACTATCATTAATCTATATAATGAGTAAAGAAAATATAAATATAAAATAAAATATTAGTTTATTTAATTGTTGAGCTATACCACTTACAATTAAAATAAACAAACACCTCCTATTAATTTAAATAATTTTACATATATATTTTTTTTAAATTAGAATATGATCAGGTAATTTAGATAAAGACCTTCCCATTTTAAATTCATTTAAACCTCTAATTATTAAATTTTTATTTTTCATTGTTTTCTTTTGTTTGTTTTTGTTATCGACGAAGTCGTAAAGAAGATAGTATATTTATACTGCAAACATCTTAATACAGTAAAAAGGATAAAGTCAAGATACTAAAAAAGGGAGTCAAATACTATCCGTGCTGTATGCTCATCCGCATCCCCTACACCATAGCTCACTCATCCTGCTAGAGGATGGACCCGATGAGGCAGGGAGATAAACACGAGCATACCACACATGGTTGACAATGAAGGATGATAGCACGCTTAATAATAAAATATTAAATAAGATATAAAGTAGGTATATACGACATACTGGGATAGATCTTAACCTCCTACCCCATTGGCATGGTGTTTTTTAAATTATGATTTTGATAAAATTAGGACATTTTTATTTTATTTATAATTTTTTTATTAGTTTAGAATAGTAAATATAAAATAATTTTTATCACGAATTAAATATTTGTACTAAAATTTATATTTAAGTAGAATAATTCTTTTAATATTTTAAATTTGTAAGTATAACTACGACCTCCTTGTATTTGCTTGTTAATTATAATAAATTATAAGCATAATGTGGGTGGTATAAAATAAACTATTAAGTTAGTTTTTTTTTT